TGTTGTTGTTGTTGTCTGTTGTTGTTGTTGCTGTTGTTGTTGTTGCTGTTGTTGTTGTTGCTGTTGTTGTTGTTGCTGTTGTTGTTGCTGTTGTTTCAATCGACTTCTCAGCAGATTATTTTCCTTGGTTAGCTCCAGTAATTTTTGTTCCATAATCTGAAATTCAATTCGAAAAATTTAAATCTATTTGGATTTAAAATGTATAAATCTTTTAGCCTCACTTATTTTTTGTTCAGCTAGAAATTAAATTCATCTATTTCACACATTTAAAAAAAATGCATTTATCTTAAAATTTGCATAATACCATATCATTTATACGACGTCTTTCGCGTGATTTCTTTGCAATATCATTGTTATGGCGCCGTTTCTCCCAGAACATATCATCTCGGGTATTTTCGTTTACGTATGGCCTGCTCCAGAACATTTTTTTGTTTTGTTAGGAAATAATCAAAATTTTTTAAGACAAAAAAAAAAAACAAAATTTGATAAGACAAATTAGGAGAAAATTTATGAAATGAACAAACCGCCTATTTGGATTAATATTAGATGGCGCTGGTGAAATGGATTTCTCAGAGCTATTCGATGAATCAGATGGTCGTCGTTCTATGTGATTACTAGAACAGATCAAATTCAGACCTCGTAATGACGAAGATGAATGTGAACTTGAGCATGATTCAATACCCAATCCATCCATTACACACCTATAAATATTTTTTACTTTGATCTTTAATTTATTGATTGATTATTTCTATCAAATCAATGAATATTATCAGAATTATTATTCAAATGACGCTACTTGAAAGAAAAATTAAGGCAAATAATTAATTAAATTAAGTATCATTACACTTTCATTTTTACAATTGATTGTAATCCAATAATTTCACATATGTGCAAATTAGATCCAAGGAAAAAAAAGCAAAAATAATGTAAACAATCATTGAAATCATCTTCATTTACTTTGTAATTTCAATTTCATAATTGCTACTTAATGAATTTTGCTAATTAATTAACATTTTCATGTCTTATTATTTCCTCCTTAATCTATAAACACAACGTTAGCATTCAATTAAATTGTTTCAATTTGATAAAAATACAATTCAACTAAAAATTATTCATTAATGAAAAATCATCAGTATATCAGTACTGATAAACATAGAGTAGCTTGATGATAATGTATCAAAGGAAATAGTGCTAAAAATGATTTCAGCGATAATATTAATACCAATAATAATAACGAAAATCATCATGCCATGATGTATGAAAAAGATGTTGGCTTTAATGAACTTGAAAAGAGACGTATATTAGGATTGTAATTATGCATGTAATGATAATGATACTGCTATTGAAAGTAATAGTAGTGATGACGATGCTAGAGATAGTAATAATAACCAATAATACTAATTAATAACAACAATTGTTATATGATGGTGGCGATGACAATAATTAATAATAATTAAT